CATATATTTACAATTGAGCTAAAATAGTATTGGTGGTTACATGACAGTGGAAAAGAGAGAGTCTTGGATCTGGAGCTAACTCCAGATATTTAATGGTTATACATATTATACAGGCCTGTAAATTAAAGAGTGCATAGCTCATAAACTCTCTTTTATTTTATTTTATTTTTTTTTTAATTGAAGCCAAATTCCATTTTCAGCCAGCAGAAATTCCTCGCCCCCACTGCTCCATTGTTGGGAATCTCTGGAAAGGCCAGATGTTGGTGGCAGTAATTCAGGGGCTGAAGGAGTGCCTGAAATGCCCACTGCCCTCTGGAGGACAAGAGTGTGGCTGAGCTGCTGAACCTTCCGCCAGTGCAGGCTGTAATGCATTGTATGCTCCTGTTGTGGTTTTGCCTTAGTACAAATGGTGACTGAAACTGGAAACTACTTAATGGTGCAAAAAATTAACATAGCCCAAAAAGGTTTGGAAATTTAAATCTTTGTTTGTACTCACTGTTCTTCTGTAGTGTGTCATGTTAATTCATGTCTTATTTTTATGTCTTATTATGAGAAATGTTGCTTATTATAGAAGGGAAAAATCTGTCAGATATGATTAATGACCTCATGTCTAAGAAAGTAGTCTTGTAGCCACCCAGGCTTAAGGTTTAAAAGAAACAAAGTTTTAGGGGAAATTAATTTTTTTTTCATTTCAAAAAATTGACACAGGTGGAAAAAGAAGATGCTTTTCAGGCACAGTTCTTCAGTTTTTAAATTCCAAGCTATTGAAATGTGTACAGATGAAGTAGAGCATAATTGATGAATATCTTTAATCATGTACTTAACTGGAGAACCAAATTAAAACTTAATCTATAACAAAGGACTCCCACACTATGGAAAAAGTGGAAAAAAAATGAATGATGGGCTACAACTTAAGTAGATTAACAACCATAAAATGTCATAACTTGAGATTTGCAGGAACATTTTCAGGTAGAAGTAAAACATATTTTTCCTCTTTTATAAATATAACTTCAACAACAGAACCAAAATATGTTTCCATATTTTACTTTTCAGTTCAGCTACATAAAGTTAAATAAGAGACACAACTGTCTTATCACCATGATAAAAATTCCAGTGCTGGTACATGCAAACCTCAGAGATACATTTACTGCAAACAGCAGTGGATGTGACTGGTCCTTTCCTCATTGTGGTAGATGGAACACAAAGAGTCAGTGCAAATAGCAGGAAAAAAATTTTGATTTCTTTTGTAAAATGAAGAATTGTAAAAGTTGCAATGAATTAATGCACAAGTCATTCTTGAAAAAATTCAAAAAGCCCTTTAAAAATGACAGATTAGAGAGCCTGACAAAGAAGATCTAGTAAAAGGCCTATAGTCCTCTACTCCATCCAACATTTTAAGTCACCGCTAATGAGCTTAACACAAAATATTAATAAAGTGAAATTTGTTTTGGACAGGTCTAATATTTAAAACAAACCATTTGGAATGAAACTTTCCAAGATTCATTCTCCCAATAATGCTTTATTTTCCTCAGAAATGAAGAATGGTGAGCCATGAATGCATTAGATTTTACATCTCCAGGAGGAAGCCCTCCTGAAACCTTTTTTAACTTATTGTGCAAAAAGATGATGCACAGCCAAGTCATGACGGAACATGATATACAGCCACCAGGAACAGCAATGCTCCCTTCCTTTGTCCCTGCTCTCCTCCCCCAAGATCTGCACGTCCTCTCTGTCTCCCTCCACAGCACAGGGCTCTGCTGAGATTTTATGGAATAGTCCTACAAACACACACACACCCTTCTCCATAACATCCCTTGGCCTTTCTGGACCCTCATCCACTTTGCTTTTACTGACTTCTCTCAGCCCTCAACACCTCCCTGCACGCAGCCATTGAATATTTTGTGTCATTATCACAAAATTCAATTTTGCTCTTGGGGGAAGTGGAAGTTAATGTTGCCTCCAGAACTGAAAAGCCTTGAGTGGGTCCTGGCACTACACGAGGAATTGTATCATTCAGTGAGGAATGCGATCTGAAGAGCCCTATTCAGCCTACAAATCATTTACTCAAAAGACTACAATAGACACCAGACAGAAAATAGTATGAATACAGAAAAAAAAAAAAAAAAAAAAAAAAAAAAAAAAAAAAAAAAAAAAAAAAAAAAAAAAAAAAAAAAAAGGCAGCCTCAATCCTGCAAACACTTATGTGTGTACTTAATGTAATGTGGATGAATATTGATTTCAATGAGAGTGCTTATATGCATAAAGCAAGGCATATGCATGCTTACAGGATCAAGGCCAAGATTGTTAAATACTGCAAGCTGAGCTTTAACTACTGATAAAGCAACTTAGAAATACACCAAAATATGTCAAAGAAATATTCAGGATGCCTGGTTTCAACACTCATGAAATGGGATCTCTGCCATCAGTCTGAAATAAGAAAAATAATTTGTTATTAAATTAATGACAATCATATAAAATTGGAATGTAGTATAATGTATGAGCAAAAGGAGCATACATATTGGCTGAATAATTCTGTCTCCTGCTAAAATGCATCCATTTCTGTGGCAGCTATTGAAAAATGTACAAAAACATAACAGTATACGTCAAAGAGGTGAATGATCCTTCCATTTGCAACAACCAGGGAAAATTAAAGTTGAAAGGGAATTTCTCACAACAGAATTCATCCTGCAAGTACACAGACTGGGAGGTGCAAAACCAGTGGGTGATCATTTCAGACTCCACTGTACAGATTGGTTTTAGTCTAGCTGGACATGATGGCTGCACAAGTTCTCTCATGCTCTCTGTCGTAGTACAATCTGAAACACTGACCCAACATTTTATCAAAATTAATTTTTTCTGCAGCCTTCTATGAAAAAGAATGGATGTGAAACACATTGTGGAAATGCACATTCTGGTTTCTGTTTAAACGCTCTCAGGGAGACTTTAATTGCATAACCAAAATGACAGTTTGGGACAGTGACTGGTAACTTGATGCTGGAGACTTTGAAAACCTAAGTCTTAATTCCCTACTCAGTAACAGCGCAACTAATTTAGCAGTGATGAACATGGAAAACAGACTCTCATCTCAGCCTGAATGCTGAACAGATACTGTTTTCAATTATGGTGACCGCTCTGGTCTGCAAGGATCTTGAATGAGAACACACTGCCTGTGAGCACTGGCTTGGCAGAGGAGAATACTCCAACTCTCCAGACCATACAAGTCACACACGTAAAATGTTTGTAGGACTATACTGCATATTTTAGAAAGCCAAGCTGAAGGGATTTCTAGAAGTAGCTCCCAGAAAGGGGACAAGAGTCTTCCAGGGAAGGAGGCTTGGCTGAGCACTCAACTAATGTGCAAAGAGCCCTGTGGTGAAGAGGCTGTGATATCTCCAACACTGAAATTAGGTGGTCTAGCCCTGCCAGATCTGTGGTGTCCACATTGTAGAGAGTTCATAACTGTCATGAATCTTGTCAGAATGTGACATAATGGATAAGTGTCTCCAGATCTGGTCAGCTCTGCTAAAATAACTAGCTTGTGACTGTGGTGAAAATGGAGTTTTGCTGGAAACTTCAAAAATTCCTCAAGAAGCTGTGTGAGACCAGGATTCCTGCTTTCTTTACACTCTGCTCCAGGATGATCAAAATAAAAATAACCAAATATAATGACAATTTTCTAGCTTTCCACCTACAGTGCTTCACTGACTGAGGAAATAACATGTCATCTACTGCACAGCCTGCTTATTCCTGCCTATCTATGGGACAGTGGTGGTGAGCACTGAAACAGGCTATCCAGGGAGGTCATGGAGTCCCCCTCTCTGGGGCGAGACATCCAAACTCATCTGGACACATTCCTGTGTAACCTGCCCCAGGTGACCCTGCCTTGGCAGGAGGGTTGAATTGGATGATCTCCAGAGGTCCCTTCCAACCCTAACAATGCTGTGATTCTCTGACTACCATAAAGGCATAGACTTGCATTAATTTTTGTTCAAGGTAAGTTCTCTTTGGTGTCTAAAGACTTCAGGAGTTGTTTACACTCTGACTTACCTTTCCCCCCCACCCTCCCTGCTATGTGGCTGCTTCAGTACCTTTCTAGTTTTCCTATTTTGGTTTAACTGCAATACAAGTCAGTGACTGCTTTTTATCAGTCTCAACACATTGAGTGTCAGTGTAAGAAAGGCTATAGAGAACAAATTTAGAAGCAGAAAAGGTAATGCTTTTTTTTTTAGTATATGAAGTAGCTATTTAAAAAAACCAAACCCTTTGTTTGTACTGGCTGGTGTAGAATTGTTCTACTTTTCTTCTGAAGTTATGCTTAACATAGGATTCTTTGGTGAGCCCTACAGTTTTCCTCATGTCTATATTCTTCAAGGAAAAAAATAAAACAACAGAGGAACAGCTTAGAAATTAAACTGTTACCCCAGACTGAACAGGAAAAAACAAAAACAAAACAAGAAACCCCCAAAGTTGTGAACTTTGAGGATGGAGCTTCAAAATATGTGTACTTTAGAAACAGATCTTTAGCCGATGAAAATCATGATGTCTCCACTGAAGCAAATTAAATTATGCCAAAACACAGCAGGCAAGTATTTGACACTCAGTTGTGTGCAGCAATTCCCTGGTCTGTGGCTGCTTTAAGAACAGTGGAACTGGCAGTTTGTTCAGGCAGGTTTTCGACTTGTCCGTGGAACTGCAAGGATTTTCTCACCTTTCATCAACGTGGATCTGCAGCCAACATCTTTAAAAATATATCCTGATCTCATTCAGTTCAAAGCTGTGTATTGAAATAAGGCAAGCCCTGAGATGAATTAGAGGCAAAGGGCCCCTTTGCACACTTGAACTCTATGTGCAGCTTTTATTGACATCAGTGTGAGCTGTGTCTGCAAATCAGTGACCGCCTTTTGTTATGGAGCAACAAATCTTTAGCACACAGCCTACTTCTGACAGAGTCAGTCTTCCTTTGAAAAAGCACATTCTTAGATTCATGCAAAGATACCAACCAGCATTGCCAGATGACATGTTCAGAAAATCAGGATGCTATCCTGGACCAGCAGTGCAAAGACCAACTGACAAGAACTGCACAAATCTAAGGAAAAAAAAAAAAAATACTCTTACTACTTATGTGAGATATCAGGAAAAATACTTCCAAAATAGGAACATCCTAATTTTAATCATAGTAACTAAAGCCTAAAGCTAACTAACTGACAGCAACACTAATGACAGCAGTAATGTGTCTGAGGTGTAGGAAAAGAGTATGCAGGGTCATAATTCAAATTTCTCAACACATTCTAACTGAAGGCCATATTTTGCAGGAACTCATTTAAGCAATGTTAGAAGGATAAGATTTTTCAAGCATTCTAAGCATCTAAAAACTTCTGTTCTGGCTTTGTGCATAAACAGATTTTTCAAGTATCTCTGTTTCCCAGTGCTGACAATTTTGCAGACCTGAGTGTCACTGTGGACATTTCTGAAATGTTGACCATACCATGTAACTTAGTCAAGAAAGTTCTGCTTTGGAGTTCAGTAAATAAACTCCAGCCACAGAGCACACACTACTCACACATAAAGAAAATCCTTTTTTGTTCTCTGAGCTTTTAATCATTAAATGGTTAAAAATATAGAAAGGCCACAACTAACACCACTGAGAGAGACAGTGAGAGAGAATGGAAGGAGGAGTGTGGTACTGCACTTTGCAAGCTCAGCAGTTCTTCAGATGTGGTCTGGCATGTAGCTCATAAAGTCAAGCAAATCTGCTCATTTCAGTTGTATACAGGCACATATGCATCAACAGGGATACATACATAGATGTTAACCCTCTGAAGAGTGAAATAAAGTAGTGTGATGTACATCTATAGTAGATTAGCAGTAACAAAGATTTGAAGTTATAAAAAATCTGTTGCTTTGTACTATTTCAGCATAAAAACACAAGCTGAAAGTTTCAGGTATGTGACAGCTGGGATAGGTTTTCTATAAGAGGACAATGATGATGATGATAATAACATTTGAATTTTCTACTTCACTTTGAGTTTCTCATGATCATATTTTTAATGGAATTTATAGGGACATGATAACAGAAAATACTTTCATCCAAAAATACTGCTTCATCAGAGCAAATTAATTTCATTGAAACAAATGAATTTTACTTTTTTTGGCTAGAAATTATTGAGGTGTCTCTTGTTAATTCTGACTAGGGAGAGAAAAGGACAAAAGCAGATGGAAGGGGCAAAAACCGAGAAAAAAAAGAGGCATGCATACATTAATGTAGGAAAAAGAATTTTGGCAAAATTTTGGGCAACTGGATGATATGAAGAAGTATATTCTAGAATGCTGAAATACAAGAAGGAAATTGAATTTTTCTTCCTAGATCTGATTCACTTTTTTATTATTGGAGTGCAGGGTTTCTGATTCTTCTGTGTTGTTCCTTTCAAATGTTCCCCAGAATGTGGGATTTCTTGCACTATGCCAGACTCAGCAATGCCTGTGCAACCAGACTTAGCACAAATGTTAGATCAGCCATAACAGCTAATTAGAACAACTCACAAACCATAGAATAGAATATTATAGTTTCATAGATGCATTTAATGGTTTGGGCTGGAAGGAGACTTAAAGATCATCTAGTTCCTGCCCCTCTTACATGGGCAAGGACACCTCCCACTAGACCAGCTTGCTCAAGGCCCCATTCAACTGTTCTTGATTTTTATCAGTGTGTGACAGAAAAAAAAAAGTTTTTCAAGTTTGGGATGGGATAACAGGATTTGTGGCAATGACTAGGGAACTTTTTTTCCTAAGCAACATGAAGATGTCCCAACTCAACATTGAGGGATTTAGTGATGATTATGAGGTGAACGGGTAAATCTCTGGAGATTGACAAAACTCTGTGACTTACCAATATAGGCCATAGATCTCATTTCCTTTTTCTTTTGTCAAATAAATAATGAAAGAGGCATATTTTTAATGCAATGAAAAACAAGATGCAGGTAGACCCCTCTCCAAACTGAAGTTGTTACGAGAGATTGTAGACAGACTGAAAATGTGTGTGACTTTCTCAGTCTGCATGAAGCAGTGTCTGATTTTTCACACTATGCCATGCCAACTTAGAGTAATGAGAAATTATTGTATCTACAGAAAATGGAAAATAGCATCTAATAATAAAATAAATGCCTTTGGCTGGAATGTCCACATTCACAACAGGCAAGTGTACAGAGTATTGCACAGGCCTTCTATAGTTTGCTTTTTGTACATCCTTGAAGCAAAGCAGTTATGTTGTGCTGCCTAAAGTAAATGTAGAAACTCAAAGCATATATGGGCCCAAGAGAAGACTATGTAATAAGTTAGATATGATGAACCATAGCCAGTTTTCCTACCTACTCCTCTTTCCATCTATGCCAGCTATTTGTCTTCTCTACAGCTTGGTTGCCATGAGTATCATGTGGATATTGTCCCAGTCTTTATTTAAGGATATAATTCCTAACAATGAAAAAGAGAACATTCAGCAAAAATGATAGGTTGTGAACACAGCATACTCTTAGCCTGGGGAGGTGATTACCACAAGGTCACTGTGGCTCAGCAGCTGTACAGAATTCAAAAAAAAAGCTGGGAATTTTTGAAGTGAAAAAATACACTGAGAAATATTATTACACATGTGTGTATATGTATTTTAAATACATGCATTTGTACATATGCTTACATATATACATAAAATAAATATGTGAAAAGAAAGGCATAATTCAGAATTTAAACCAATCTCTATTGAGACTAAGGAAGGCATTTCATTTGGATTGATTATTCCTCAGCCGCCCTGTTCTACTTTGTCCTGTAAAGCAGCTCACATTGATGGTTGGAAGAGATCATTTCTCTTGTGTTACAATTCCTAAAGGCTGTCAGCAAATTATCAGGCTTCAATGCAAGAGTCTACTGTGCTACAGTCCTCCTGCTTTAGATGTCATTCCTTATGAAGAGGAAAAACTTGCAGACCGCGTCTTATAATAGCCAAAACCTTAGAGACCTCTGGCCAGATCAGGGAAAGAATCATAGATGGATAGAGTGGCTTGGTTTGGATGGGACCTTAGATCATCTAGTCCCACCCAAGGCAGAGATGTCACCATTAAATATCATGTCTGGTTTGTGAGAGCCTGGATTCCTTCATGTGCTGCAATACACACCAGTGATGATGGTTGGTGATATCACAGCCTTAGAAATCAGTTTAGGACACTTGCTAGGCCACGCCACTTTTTGTAGCTCATGATTCATACTTCCACTGCACAGTTCACAGGGCCAAGTTTCTGTAGCACAGATGAACCTCAGGCTCTCCCTATGCCATCTTCCCTTGAAACCTGTGACTCTGACACAACTGAATCTCAGACAACACTAATTTCTTTCTGGCTAATTCAGAGTGCCCTGATGTCACCACCTGGGTAGGTAGGTAGAGATAGGCAGAGTCCAGGGGGAGAAGGCATGGCTGGACCAATGAAAGGTGCTAAGAAGAACCTTGCATTTCCCAGAGAACAAGGCATTCCCCAGAGATTCCCCATCTCCTAGATTTCAGTCTGAGTTCGTGTCCAAGCAATGTTGAGATAGCATTTGAAATAAGCATGATACAAACTTTACTTATTGTAACTAATAAGAAGTTTAAATTTATTGTCATGTCTAATTTTTCTATTTGATGAATTACCCTCTTTATTACTAGATTGAAGTTCCCCTATAAACTAGCTGCAAATTACCTATTGATACTTTGTTTTTCTTCTGTTTCTTTCCCCCCAGTACAATTCTCTGCTGTATAACAATTGTATTTGCCTGGGACTATGGAAAGAGTTAGGTAAATCAATTTTAAACAAACCATATATTGTATGCTTATATAGCTTCATTTCCAATAAATAACCTGGAATACCTAGTCAACTTTACATGCAATCTTAATTTGAGTTTCATATGCATAACGGAAGCAAGGAAAAATGGGACAGACCTGAGAAGGGAAGAAAGATTATATGGCTACAAGCACAGTGCAATGTAAATTCATTTACAAGGGCATCTGCATCTGTATGTCCAGTCAAGTGGCACAGTGAATTGCGAGGGGATTATTGATTTCAAAATGACTTAACTGTAGTCATGCAGTACTGAGAATACCTTATTGCTTCCCTCAGCTTCATGTACCAATTTGATCATATTTTGTATATGTCTCAGCAGTCACACATGTAAGTCCTGAAAATAAGGTGATTAAAAGGGCAACAACCTCAGAAAAAAAAAAAAAAGTCTCTCACCATATAAAAGATCAGGTTTGCTCTTCATTTTTGAACACTCCAAATAATATACTTTTCTATTTGAATGCCCCTCTTGAAACAATTAAAATACAACCTACATCAATGCTGAGCAGAAGTGCCCTGAAAATCAGGTCCCATCAAACTGGAGTCACCCAAAGAAATTTATGCCACTTTTAAGGTTTGAACGTCTAACTTTCGAAGTCAATATGCATAAAACTTTCTGAATATGTGCACAACAAGGAGCCAAGAAAATTTTGACTCGTCCCATTGCAAGCTTTTAAAACTTCCATGTGCATGCAGGCCTGATAACTTTTTAAAACAATCTTTCAAGAGAAGGAACAAGAAATAAACATCATCTCCCCTAACATATGGATTAAAATTTTTACACTGTCAGTAATTAAAATACCATGACAAATTAAGAGCTGATAAAAGGCCACAGCTAAAGATTTATGTTCTTTTTTTTTTTAAGCTCCTTTAAGCTTTACCAAATGTACTGTGCTCCATGTACTTCATCTCTAACATCTGAATCCAGTTAGCAATGATTTTCAACTAACAGGGTGTTCCTTTGCATCAAAATGTGTAGCAGGATCTCTGTGTTACGCATGTCATCTTATGACAGTCAGTTAGCTCTCTTGCTGAAGTGCATTAGGAAACTGTTTTAAAGAGCTTGCACCTTTTGTCAGAATGGTTAAAAAAAAGAAACTACATTGTTTAACAGCCCTGTATGTCTTACTGTTATACTCTCCACCTTTTGCAAAGGTCAGAGAAGTGTCATTTTGTGACTGTACTAATTTATTCAGAAAGCACAGCTTAACTCTTCCTGTGACTTGTT